ATGTCTCTTTGAAGGTTGTGGTAACCTGGATCTGAACTGTTTAATGGATAAATTACCCTGTGCTAATTGCCAGGATGTTTGGGAGAAGGAGAGTTAAGCCTATTGTTTTCTCAGGCCGAAAGGCTGGTGGAAATGTATAAGAACCCTGGGACATGATCCTTCTTCATCTCAGATCTGCTTTGGGTTTCAAGAGGGGGAAACCTTAAGCCCTAAGGATTGAGATCCCCAGTCACTGACTGGAGCCACCCTGAATATGGACATTGGACTATAACCTCCGGACTATTTCTAAAAGGACTTTTGGCAACTACAAGCTCATCTCTGCTATGTATCTGAACCTCAAGAATTGAATTCAAGTCTGTCTGTACATTGATCTTTTAACCAACACTCTCTCTCTTTTCTTTTTTAATAAATTTTAGTTTAGTTAATAAGAATTGACTATAGGGTGTATTTTGGGTCAGATCTAAGTTATAATTGAACCTGGGTATGTGGCTGATCCTTTGGGGTTGGAAGAACCTTTTCTTTTATATGATGAGATAAGATTTTCAGTAATCATCATCATATCTGACAGGTGTGTCTGGACGGAGGCCTGAGGCTGGGCACTTTGAGGGAACTGCATTGGTTGGACTTCTGTGAGGTAACACAGAAGCTGTTTTGTGCTGGTTGGTAAATCTAAGTATCGGAATATCCACCTGCGTTTGGGGTTTGGCTGCCTCGTTTTGTTTGCAGTTCACCCTGATTGAGTGACCTCAGCTGGCTCCCACGGGCAGCACCGTCACACCGGGGTCTGTCGGTGTTACACTAGGAAGGTGTTTTCGAGGCTCACCGAGGAGCCCCTTTCTGCTGCAAAACTGTTCCATAAACTGTGGGCCCCCTTGTTAATTATGCAACCATCAGCCAAGTGTGCGAGGCTCCATGGTGATCCGTGTCCAGCCAGGGGTGGGTTACTGTGCCTCAGACTCACTGCGACATAGGCATTGCCAGACGGGATCAGCCTGAGGTACATCTAGGCTGGTCCCATCTTTGACAGGGGCCAGAACTAGGTGCTTCAGAGGAAGGCGTCAAAACCCCACAGCAGCAGGTGTGGGCTAATCTGCCCTGCACATGGATCTGATCCCATCTCTAATAGCTAGAGCTTGGCTTGAGCCCGGAAGCTGGAGTCGGGTGTCGCTGCCAACGTTTGCACCACTATTTCATTCAGCGCTCTGGCTAGTCTTGTTATCCAGAGAAACGGCCAATCCCGTTTTGAATTGTGCTCAATTCTTCGCCTCAACTACGTCCTGTGGCAGTGAGTTCCACAGGCTAGTTATGTCTCCAGTAAAAAAGTATTTCCACCGATCAGTTTTCAATGTCTCAACTTTTAATTTTGTGCAAAGTCCTGTCATCCTTGTGTGAGGAGACGAGGGGACAGCAGCCTCCCACCTCCCTTGTCTAGGCCAGTCGTTATTTTATAGACTTTGGTCACGTCCCCTCTCCTGCGTCTGCTCGCTGCGGTAACCCTCCGAGTCGGTTCAATCTCTTCGCAGGAGAGTTCATCCTTTGATCCCTCTCGCCGCCCTCGGCTGAAACCCTCTCGTTCTGCCCTATCCTGGCTGCGAGAGGAGCCCCCGGCTGACACTGGATCCAGGGGTGGACAGCACCACTGATCGGCATGAAGGGAGTCGAATATTCTCTGTCCATCCCGGGCCTGTTGAATCCTGACTCACACGAGCGTTTCCGGACCCCGGCGTTGCGTGGAGCGGCGATCTCCGTCGAGCTGTCTGCAGGGACGCCCAGGCCCTGCCCGGAGTGAGCCGGTTCATCGGGACCCCAGCAGGCGGACGGAGAGTTGCTTTTTCCCCGTCTAGCGGGTCTCACTCTGCATTTAATGAGCACGGGATCCCTGTGCCATTGTGACCCCGTTCGCCCAGCTGGGTCTGGGGTCTCTGAGCCCCTCACGGCCCCTTCAGCTCCTAACTAACCTCCACACCTTTGTGTCACCGGCAAACGTCGCTGCTCCCATGCTCCCCCCGGCTCCCCAATCACTAGTTAATATACTAGCCACAAGCTCCACTGGTACCTTCTGTCGGGAGGAAAGCTGGCCACTTCTTCTGACACACCAGCCTGTCCTGAACACACATGGCCTGGCTCTCCTCTGCCCTTTGCTCCGTGACCTCCCTCACCCTGGGCACAGCGGGCACCGGATCAGTTAGCGCCCGACCCCTCTCGGCACGCGTGTAAGTGGCTGCACAAGGAAGCACCGGCCCCCGGATACCGAACGTTCCACGGCCGACAGGGCGCCGTGGTAACCGGCTCCTCGAGCAGCGATCTGCACGCACAGGCCCCGGCCTAGCCTCTGTGGGGCTGCAGTGCACAGGCGCTGGTCACAGCACCACGTTACCCAGCTGCAGGCCATGCAGCCCGAGGACAGAGAGCCAGTGCCTAGGGTTACCATATTTAAAAAATAAAGAGGACACTCCATGGGGCCCTGGCTCCGCCCCCACCCCTTTCCCACCCCCGGCCCCGCCCTAACTCCGTCCCTTCCCCTGAGCGCCCTGCATTCCTCCTCCTCCCTCCCAGCCACCCGAAAAGGGCTGCCCGAGCGCTACCGGCTTCACGGTTTGCTGGGCAGCCTCCAGACCCTGCGCCCCCGGCCGGCGCTTCCCCTCCCGGGCTCCGGCGGCTGCTGTGCTCCCTGAACTCCTGGGCTCTGTAAGCG